GAATCTAAAATCCCATGGGTGAAATGGAAAACTGTATGTAGACCGCGGAAGAATGGTGGCTTGGGCATTAGGAATGTGCAGTGGTTTAATTAGGCGCTTCTTGGTAAATGGTTATGGCGAGGTGTTAATTGTTCTAGTTCATTGTGGGTGCGGGTGTTGGAATCTAGATATGGAAGATTAGCTTCTTCTCTTCAGCGTTCATAAGTTCACAACAGATGTTCTTTGTGGTGGCGTGATTTGCTGGAGGTTATTCATCAAGAGAATTCATGGCTGGATGAGAAGTTTGATAGAAGTGTGGGTGCAGGTTTACACACTCTTTTTTGGAGAGATAAGTGGGTAGGAGGGGTGCGATTGTATGAAGCATTTTCGCGATTATTTGCAGTGGCGAGAAATGCTGAATCACGTGTAGTGGAGAATGGTTTTCATGATGGCACTAGATGGGTTTGGAATGTTAGTTGGCGAAGAGGACTCTTTCAACATGAGATCTCGAGCTTTAATCTTTTGTTGGAGCTTGTGGATGAAGTTTCTATTAAGTTACTACAAGAAGATAAATGGGTATGGAGGGCAGATTCTTCAGGTTGTTATTCAGTGCAATCTGCGTATTCATGGCTATTTGAACTTTTTGGTGGTCCTAATAGTGTAGATCAGTATACGGCAGATGCCTTGCAAAGGCTATGGAGAGGGAATGTCCCTCTTAAGTATCTGGTTTTTTCTTGGCAATTGTTGTTGAATGCACTTCCTTGTAAAGGTTTACTGATTGATCGTGGTGTTCAAATTGATGATATAACTTGTTGTTTCTGTCATGGTTTGGAGGAACTTCCAACTCATTTATTTTTAACGTGATCAATTTCATCTCAAATCTGGTACTTTACTGCACGTTGGCTTGGATTCTCACTGGTTTTGCCTTCAGATTTATCGACTCACTTGCTTTCTTGGGTTGGTGTTGGCTGTAGTAAAAGAGAAGGAATATGCTTATTAATTATTTGGGTAAGTACAATGTGGTCTTTGTAGTTACATAGAAATAGAATTATAATTTCCAATGGTGTTTTGGATGAGAGGGAAGTCCTAGATTCTATTATTCTGAGATCCTGGAAATGGTTATCACTTGTTAATAAGGGAGAAGCTATTATGTTAGCTGATTGGTATTTGAACCCACGAAATTGCATTTGTCTTAATTTTGCATAAGTATTTTTTTGCTTTTTATTTCTCTGAGTAAGTAATTTTTTGTGTATATGGGTTTTGAGTTTCCCTTGAACTCTTTTTAATAAGATTTGTTTTGCCTTATAAAAAAAAAAAGATGGATTCAAAGTGCAATTAATAAGTCCATTTATCATTATCATATAAACTCTCTTTATTATTAATAAATTTTATTATAGGAAAAGTCACATACTTATTATAAATAATTATTATAATATTATTTAACCATATATTTTATTTATTAAATGTAACATTTTGATACCAAATTACAACCAATATTACACACACATAAAGTAATTAAGTTTTCGTTCACTTACATAACTTAATAATTTTTTATAAATTGCAAATTTTATTAATTTAACCATTTAAGAGTTCTCAATAAAAAAAATTAAGTTTACAAAAATTAATAAAATTAAAAAATATTTATTTTTCATATCAAAATAACTTTATTTTTAATGTACAATATATTTTTCAACAAAATTAAAAATTTTACACTGAAATTATGATATTTCAAGTATATAATTATTGTTTACAGTGAATTTTGTTATCATTAAACAAATAAATTCAAGAGTAATATAGAAATTAAATTTTAGATCCTCTTATTGGATTCTTTATAGTATGTTCTTGATTAAATGAACCAATTAATGTTGTAGAATAGATGTAAAATAAAACAGAAAGGAGTAGAAGGAAAAATGGCAATATGTAATAAAAGAAAATAGTAAAAGACTGAAATAAAACAACTGAACTGAAATTGCATTCCAGTAATTAACGAACATAAAAGTACAACTTTCAACAACAATCACCACAAAACTATTGATATCTTGGCTGTAAAACTTTGGCGTTGTGTAAAAAATGTAATCCCTAAATAATGAAAGAAGTCATATTTATAGGTACAATTTAAATTAATCAGCTAAAACATGTGATTTTAAAAATACAATTGCTTAAACTAAGCACGTTTTTGTAACTACTCTTGCATGTCGTTCATGATTTTTGCTACATGTCTTGATCTGTAACTCTTTATGACCACTTCCAATGTATTTGAAATTTTGACATAAATCAATTATTTTCTTAGAAGCCTTTATCATTTGAGACAATGCACCAAAAATAACTTGATCTAGTTCTTCGATGAAATATCTTTGACCAATTCTTGATTTCAAGAAATGAAGGCAATGTCTTCTAGAAAAATCTCTTGAAACTTTCTTTTAGACTAACTTTTAACATTCTTGAACCTTTGCAACTTTATCTACAAACCATTTATGAACTTGTTAAAAACTTGTCAAAATATCTTTTTGATCATGTTTTTCCTTCCTACTTACAACTTTCTTAGGAAACAAATAAAAAATATTTCTTCATTTCAATTAAAACTTCATGTTCTTCCGTTTTGACTAAAAACTTTATTTTTTTTTACCCTTATATTTTCACAAAAATTTGTCAAAAAAGTAAATTTTTTATGATCATCCAAATTTTAGTTGAATCATGTACTTCCAACAACAACTTTTTGAGAAGAGGTATTGAATCTTTTTCTTGTGATTTTCAACCAACACATCTTAATGATATGAAAACTTTCTTAAACATGGCGCCACTATGAGTTAGGAAATTTTTCTTTTTTCCAAACAGTATTACATTTCATCCAAACTGAATAAGGTGACTAAATTTACACATATTAATCACGTGTCAAACCTTCACATTACCTAGAAAACAAATGTTGCGTTAAGCTCATGGTCAATTAACTAATTTAATTCTTCACTATAAAATATACTTGATGTCTCCTACATCTATTACCGAAGATGCCCTTTCTCTTGCACTTGAGGAGGTCAATGACATGGTTTGCACTCAAATTCATGCCTTAAATGAAGAGTTCTAGAAGTAAAAAAAGAGATGTGGAAGACTAAAGAGAGTGCATAGAAGAAAAAATGAGCCAAGAAAATGGAGAAGATAGAGAAAAATGTGGTATCGAAAATGCAGAGGGAGATGCAACAATATATACAAATGTAGTAGAATAAGCAGCTCCACATCTTTTCTTCTTTTGCCACCAACTTCAATATCACCAGTATTTGGCTGAATACAACATTCATTCTCTTATTCCTCTACTAATAACAATGTTGATATCAACGACGATCACGTTGAGTGAGTGTGATAAATATTGTTATTTTATTTTTTATATTATTAATTTGAATGTTTAATTTTTTAATTGTAATAATATTTTAATTTAATATTTTTAAATAATTTTAAAATTTTAAATTTTGATCTGATAATTTTCTTTATATTTATAAAGTGTGATAATTAAGAACAATATACAAGTAAATAAAAGAAAAAAAATTAAATAATTAATACAAATAATTTTGTTTGTTTGTAATATTATAGATAACAAAATTCGTCTCTAAATTATCAATAGAAAAATTTATTTGTAATATACAGACAAAATATCTGTTGTAATTTATAGATAAATTTAAAAATTCATCTATTGATAGATTTAAAAATTCATCTATATTAATTTATTGCGTGTTTTTAGCGCACTTTATTTATGATTTATGCTTTGAAACACTACTCCATAGTTGGTTGCTAACTAATATTAAGATTCTTGTCAAAGAATTAGAAGAGATGTGGTATGGTTTCGACAAATTTAACTTTTAGTAATTTAAAAGACTAAAACAAGCAATGCTAAAAGAATTAGGGAAAAGGGAGGGTACCTTTGCTCTAAAATATTTTCAATCATGTTTAAGTTGAATTATTTTTGTTGTAAGAAATTGATTAACATGATGTTTTATGATTAAGAATTTGGATGATGACTTTTAGCAATTTAAAAGACTAAAACAAGCAATGCTAAAAGAATTAGGGAGAAGGGAGGGTGACTTTGCTCTAAAATATTTTCAATCATGTTTAAATTGAATTATTTTTGTTGTAAGGAATTGATTAACATGATGTTTTATGATTAAGAATTTGGATGATGAAATTTTTAATATGCAATTAGTGCTAATATTTTCATTCTATTGATCCTTGAGGAACTTACTAGTTAATGCATGAGATTTTTTATTAGTATATAACATATAAAATATTTACAGTGAAAAAGAAAGAATGCAATACTGAGTATCTAGATTCCATACCTTCCAAATTATAATCTTTTGTAATTTGATGTTTCAAAAACCTTCAATTAAAGGAATTCAAAATTAAATTGACATTATTAGGAACAAATGTAAATGGAAATCCCTCTTGTAGTAGCAGATGAAGTTATCTCCTATTTTCCTTTCCAACCAAAGCCAAACTACATATCCTTGCGTTGGTACTAGAAGTGACATGTAAGTTCATAATTTTATTTTTTATAATCATATTAATAAAATAGGTATTTATATAAAAAAAATTTAAACTAAAAGCGGCAACATATACATAAAATTAACGATAAATGCTCTCAAACTTTTTTGGTTCCATGTCATTTTGACATTGTTCTAGTTTTCGTTGATTCTTAACCAATTAACTAGGGTCTATTTTCTCCCCAAAGAGAAAGAAAATACTTTCCCAAATGCATATTCCTTTTATATAGGATCCGTTTATACCAGGTGTAAGTCTTAGATTTATACTAAATTCTAATCTACAAATTAAATAATCTAACGGTTGAAAAATTATCTTTTTTTGTTATTTTTTTACATGCTTTTTAGGTAACTTTCCAACTGTTAGATTATTTAATTTATACAATTAAAATAGACTTACATTTGGTGTCAATAAATCCTATCCCATATATTATTTATCTATTATTATTGATTAGATTATTGTTTTCTTTCTTTTTTTTTTTTTTTTTTTCAACTATATAGTCTTGTAACATGCCATCGTAGTTGTATTGTTTAAAAGTTTATTTTTTTTTCTCCATTGCTTTCAATAAGCAAACAATTTTTATTTTGACTTTTCAGAGACGTCAAGTCAAGTTACAATGCAAAATGAACAAGTGCATTGTTGTCATTTGCACCTCTACAATATTATAGGTTGTTAACTAATTAGGTAATTATGAACATTGTCAATATGTTTATAAACTTGTAAGAAACAACAAGAATATTATTCGACGCTTATACCGTATGTTACACACATACACACAGTTAACACTTCTTTACATAAAAAAGAAGAGATTTTTTCTCTTCATTTTATATTTTTAATATATATAAAAGAAAAGTATAGAACATAATTGTAAAATATGAGTCAATTAAGAGTAACATTAATTACTGAAAAAATTCACCCCGGTGTAGTAAGTCTTGAACATTAAATAGGACACTACTTATTATCGTTCATCTCCTTTCCACACATCCTTCTGTTTTGGACCCTTAGGCCCATTCTTTGGACCCCAATTCATCCAATAGTTAAGCCATGGTGGCTCTCTAATTTGTGACCCCAAATATTCAGCAGCCACTATTTCAAACTCATTTGCCATATCCAAGATGGCGTCACTTTTAGCTGCATCATTTCTTATACCTAATCCTCTCATTCCTTGCATAACTACCCCAGGTTTTGGAAATAAGGCATGCCCATGTAAGGAAGAATAAGCCACAGGTCTATTACCATTTTGGAACTCAAGCTCAGAGGCATCCACCCATTGACCCTTACTATGTTGTGAGAAATAAACACTCCATAATTCTCCATTAAAGTTGCTTACCCTTAATGTCACATGCTCCCAATCCCCCACATGTTCCCCTTTGGTCCTTAGTGGAATGTTGGTGCATGCCACTTTTGCCCTTGCACCACCATTAAATGGGTAAAAAACCCACATGACAATGTCAGTGAAAGTTCCACCTAACATAGGTTTAACATGAACATAAACTTGTGAACTTCGCAAATCCCCTTTCTTGACACTGCCTCTTTTGGTTTCGTCCACAGGCAAGTCTAGCCAATAGGTAACATCATCATCATTGGAGCCACCTTGGGGAAGGTTAGTACCTGTTGGTTCTATTGAATTGCCCCTAATGAGTCCCTTTGTTCTTTCATAGAGTAAAGCTCCATGTGTGAAAAACCAATCCACAGATGAAGGGAGGTATTTTTCCATAGGATGTAAGTACATATAAGGAGAATAGGCCTTGATCATTGCCTCAATTTGGGATAAATTGGGCATGAAGGAAAAGTTAGCCTTGGTATTTTTCAAACAAACAATAGGTAAAGCATTAGAATTTGTCCCTCCACTTTGACCTACTAGGAAGGTTCCTACACTAACACTTTGAGCTTCAATGCCTCTCTTGATTGGTCTAACATCATAAACATTGAACCTCTTGTTTTCTGTTCTCCAAAGCTTCAATATTGAATTATGTGTTGTGCATTCATCTGTGAGGTCTGATCTAACACACCTTATTTTGTCAAGGGAAGGCTTCGCTGGTGATGTGGTGACAACGTGTCCAACAGGTTTATAGCCATCAGGGGCTATTGGTAACCAAAGATAACCTTGTCCATCTTGCTTTATTTTTAGAGAGTTGCTGCTCCATACTAATTTGTAATCGACTGGTTTGGTTAAGGCTCCATTTGAGGTTGAAGAGTTATCTTTCCCTACAAGAACCCAACCATGAAGAGGCTTGTTGTTATGTTGGCAATAACATCCTAACACAAAAAACCCTTCAGATAGACCCGTTGGTTCAAAAAAAGTGGCCCCAAGATTATTTGGTCCACCTTCATAGGTGGTCCAAACTTTGTTGAATGTGGAAATTTGTGAAACTAGCAACCCACCACCAAGGTCCATGATGCCACATGCAAATCCATCACCTAAAATTACATGACAAAAAAAAAACCATAAGCATATGAATCAAAAATAGCTTCCTTGCTTTTCTTATTAGAGTATCTAGAATGAAATGAATAGATGTATCGTTAAATACATACCTGGTGGCCAAATTGGTATACCAGCAGGAAGCTTAAATGTGGTTTCGATGGGCAGGCTTTTGTTTTTCTTGGAGTTGCTGAGAGAAGTCGTCATTGCTGTATTTTAGAAAGAAGGTTGAATGTGATGTCACCTACGTTATATCCAATATGGCTATTATGCATAAAAGTAAAAGCAGTGTATGTTGCAAGAAAAAGAATATTCTTTTCTTGCGTCTTTACTTATAAATATAAATGTAATTAAGATGGGCCTTAGTAGCAACGTGATAGAAAATCCTTTAAATATTCCTTTTGACGATTAACCAATGGTGATCCATGAACGATATATATAGTTTATGCTTTGTATATAGATTACCAAACACCTCCCTTGCTTTTTCTTGGAGAAATACTTTTCAAGAAGAATGAAGATTTTCTTTTCCTTTAATATTTTTTTTGTGATTAGCCTAGATTCTAGATGGAATTATTTTATGAGAACCAAAAAAATAAAAAACATTAAAATCAATGAAATTTCGTTTAAAAGAAAGAAAAGTTGCAATTGCCCTTCATATATATATATATATATATATATATATATATATATATATATATATATAATCAGGAGTCTAATTCTATGCCAAGGAATATAGGTTTTGCTTTAATAACACTCAACACGGATTAATAATAGACATGTACATATAATATCTTTTCACTTTTCAGCAGTAATTTTTTTCACTTAAAACTATTACATAAAATGTTATAATAACCGTTGGATATAAAATATCTTATTATATATAGATCGTATTTATAAAAACTTAAATATAAAAAGATTTGGTACCTTATTTGTGCGTATCAATGTCATCTATATTATATATTATTAAAATATATGAAAATAAATATTATTTAAGTATCTTATAATTTTAGTTATTTTTTATAAAATTGAACATATATAAATAATATGTAACTATAACTCAACTATTAAAATAAAAAAAATATTTTCTATAAATTATTGATGATATAAAAGTTTATGTAACTTGTGCTAGTTTAAGTTGATTCATATTGATAAATATGATATGGGGTTAGTAGTATTTTTTATTTATATATTTTAAATTGTATAATTTTAATTATTCATATTTAGTTCTTCTAGTATTTTAATTGTTTAAATTAATTAAGTTTCTTATCTCAAAATTTTATATAATAATTAACAAAAATATAAGGGATGTGTGAGATATTATTGATTTGTATAAATATTAGTAATTTTTTAAAATTTAAATAAAATATAAAAATATAATAAAACTTTTTAATTTTTAATAATTTTTCTGTTGAAATTTGTATAAATTAATATTATATTATTTGTTTGTTATATTTTCATTTACTATTATATAAAATTTGAAATAAAAGACTTAATTTAAACATTTAAAAAATTAAGTGAACTAAATGTGAGCAATTTGCTTATTTGACATGATGATTGGGTAGCTTATTAGAATTTAGACATAAAGTGAATAAACGTCTTTTTTAAATATGTTTTGATATCATTTTTATTATTCTTGTATATGTTATATCATATACTAAATTAGTGATTTGATTAGTGTTAATTTTATTGTCTTCCAGGTTTATTCAGAAAAAGTGATTTTTCAGCAAGAAAAAAACTAATGCAAGACCACCAGAGATCTATGGTAGCTTTTTTTGTGCAACAGGTAGATCAACTTTGTAACATCCATATTTTTAATTAACATAAAAATAGTAAAAAAAAAATAAAATCAAAATCATCAAAATCGAAGAGATCCTGAATAACAAATGTTTAAATCGGAAAACTTGAATAATAAAATATTATTCTTTAAAACTGGTTAATAAACCTCAAATATTGTAGTCATAATTTGCTTTATAATGTTCAACATATATTTGTATTTCAAATACATATAAAGTTATCAAAATACATTAAGATCATTCATTTACATTTACAAGTACTCAAAATAATAATGGTCCTAATGAGCAGCCTAACCACCTTTTAACCAAGTGACACTAGTCATCCCTGTGCCAATCTTCTATCATCGCTAGGTCTTCAACAGTCAACTCGTCATCTGAGCCAAGATACTGATCGCCCGGGTCTGCAGTGACATGAACACCTGTAATATGCTCGATCGTCCATCGCGATGGTAATCTAGACTGATTGTGGTCATGGTACATAACAAGATACGTTACTACTACAGGGATTCTCTCAACATAAAAGATATAAATATAGAGGGTGTGATGGATTCTATATACAAACAAATCAAAAGGGTTACTAAAGGCTAGCTCCAATTCCATCATCACTACCTCACTAGGCACCTCACTATCATGTACAAGAATTCTAAAGGAAGTAAATCTCTGATACTCGCAAAAAATATCATTTACTATATTTACTTCTGAACTATCTACTATTCTAATTCCCTCCCTCGGTGTCATCATCTGGGTTCCCTAAAATGGTTACGTAAGGATGAGTCTCCACTTTCATTGCCAAGCATACACACTCAGAGAATTCAATAATACAGGTCAAACATTCAACATGCATCATATAACTAATTCAATTATGCATTCAAATTGTGTTTCTCTATTTATTCTCTCCTTACTTATTTCCAAACTCAGTACCATTCTCATTTCCACTGTCCCTGAGATCCTTTGAGGTCTTCTTTAGCATAAATACTTGCTAGATAGCCATAACTACATGATACAACGTGTGCCGACCCGACTCCTTTTAGCAAAAATGTGATCAGGAGTATAGGTCAGGAAACGAGTGTGAGGCCTGTGGTACTCTTACTCTCATTTATAGTGAACAATTCAAGAGGAGCATTCACCACCCTCATTTTCCCAAGACTTTTCAGTCTTCTCCATCTTTCACACTCCCAGTATACCTCTGAATTATCTATTCTTGTCTTTTTCGTATTCATTCTGATTTCCTTTCTCTTTCTCTTTTATATCTCATCTTTCTATGTCTCTTTCTGTTTCATTATTTCATTATATATTACTTTCTCATTGCCGAGGTTATTCCTCTCAGGCTCAGTACATCATACACATGCTCAGATTCACATAAAACATACTCATCATCTATCATTCCAAACATATTTTCAAACATTATAGAGCATATTCTAAACACATCAATCACATATTATCATTCAATACATACTTATTTCAAGCATTTTCACTCATATGTACAATAGTTCCTAGCAATGATATAGAGCTCTCCTTACTGTGAGACGAAGTTTTGAAAGAGATTTTGTGAAAGGTTATGAGTGAAAGGACCAAGATTTTTCTAGATATCACAAAAGAGAACATTTTGAGAAAGGAGAAACTTAGAAAACACCTAAAAAGAAAAAGAAAGCTCCAAGAACTTACTTGGAGTTGATTGATGAAGTTCCCAAGCTTGAATTTGTAAGAAAATTGAGGTTTTTGAGAGATTTTCTAAGAAGAGAGGGTTAGAGGTCGAGAGAACAAAAGAGAGCTTTAAACTTGGATTGTAATCTAAGTTTTCTAACTTGGAAACCCTTAAATACCCCTATACTCGTGACATTCTTACTACAACGAGTAAATTCTTGCTATAGCGAGAAATTTTCGCTACAGCAAGACTTTTTTTCGCTACAGCGAAAAAATCAAATAAAATTGTACTTTGTTATTGTCATTCTAGCTACAGCGAGAGCTCCTCGCTACATCGAGAGAGCATCAAAGATTTCTCGCTACAGCGAGACACATCTCGTTATAGCGAAAAATCCTACAACTCACACATCTAAAACTCTCCTAATTTCAAGCAACATGGATTATCAACTCACATCAAGTATGAAATTAATAATTAATAAAGTAAGGATGTTACAACTCTCTCACCCTTTTAAGAATTTCGTTCCCAAAATTCTTTAGCTCAGAAAGAGATAGGAGTAAGCTTCTCTCATTTGATCCTCAAGTTCCCAAGTAGCATCTCCTTCGTCATTTGTACTCCATATCACTTTTACCAGAGATATTTCTTTGTCCCTCAACTGTTTGACTCGGTGATCAACAATCTTTACCGGAAATACTTCATAAGAGAGATTTTCTCGAACTTAGACTGGATCAAGTTTGATTACATGAGAGGTATCTGGAATGTATTTCTTGAGTTAAGATATATGGAAAACTAGTTGTAATTTAGATAGATTTGGAGGTAGTGCAATCTCATATGCTACAGGGCCAATTCTACTCAAGATTTCAAATGGTCCAATGAATTTAGGAGATAGTTTTCAAATTTTCAATGCTCTACCAATCCAATAATGGGTGAAACTCTAAAAAACACATGATCTCCCACTTGAAATTCTAATTGTTTTCTCCGATTATCGTAGTAACTCTTCTGTCTGTCTTATGAGATCTTGATCTTCTCCTTAATCATCTTGATTTGATCGTTCTGCCTTTGGACTAAGTCAGTTACATGTAGAATGGCTTCTCCGGACTCATACCCACATAAAAGTGTCCTACACTTTGTTCCATACAATGCTTTATACGGTGCCATCCCGAGACTAGCATGGTAACTATTGTTATAAGTGAACTCTATCAAAGGTAGGCACTCTTCCCACGTTCCTTGTTGCTCTATCACGCAGGTTCGTAACAAATCTTCAAGAGTTTGGATGATCCGCTCCGTTTGTCCATCGGTCTAAGGATGATATGTTAAACTAAGTCTCAACTTAGTTCCCAATGATCTTTGTAAACTTTCCCAAAACTTGGAAGTGAACCTGGGATCTCGATCAGACACGATGCTCAAAGGCACTCCATGTAGCCTAACTATCTCTTTGATATACAGCTCTGCTAACCTTTCCAACTTATATTTCATGTTGATTGGAAGAAAATGGGCAGTCTTGGTCAATCTGTCCACTATTACCCATATCGCATCATGATTTTGCTTGGTCCTTGACAATTCGAACGTAAAATCCATAAAAATGTCATCCCATTTCCATTATGGAATCTCCAGTGGTTGCAACTCTCCTGGCATACTCTGCTATTTCCTTCTTCATTCCATACCACCAAAAGTTTCTTTTCAGATCTTGGTACATCTTTGCTGCTCCCAGATGAAAACTTAATTTACTCTTGTGAGCTTCTTCTAGAATCATCTACTTTAGCTCTTTATTCTGAGGAATGCAAACTCTGTCTTAGAACTTGATTAGCCCATACGAATCACAATAAAATGCTAAATCCTTGC